CCCCAAAACCCCAAAACCCCAAAACCCCTTAAGATGAAAATTGCATCAAAATCTCAAATTAGCATTAAGACTTAAATAAACTATGAAATATCTATGTTTAAGTCCTTGAAATTATATGTTAAGCTCTAAGGTGGTAGGTTAATTTAAAAGTATATTTGTGCCTTAAGAATACTATCAGATAGTGCTCCATCATTTCAATTCGCAGGCAACATCTCTATTTCTCCACTTCTTCAGTTCTACCTTTAGTCTATTTATAAATGTCTCTAGGTGCTACTTTTCTATTAGATAGAGTTTTTATCTGACCATCATGCTTGGAGGTCCAAAATTAGAAAACTCAGTTTCTTCTCTCCAAGCTAACACCATCTATATAATTTGCTGTGCCTTTTAATCTTCGTCACTACTATCGTTATCGCTATCATTTCCATACACTTCTTTATAGTTAAGCAAGGTCACCTTTTCTAAATTGCAAAGACTTCTGACACTTTAGATAGTAGCGTTCCATCCAATTTAAGGCATCTTCACCTTGTCATTATCCTATGTAGCGAAATACTAGCCATATTTCCTAACTCCTTTTTCCCCTTCCTTCAATATTATGATTCTTCCCTCTTGCATAGTCATAAATCTTGTACGTTCAGCCTTATCTGCTGGATCCTCTCCCCAAATCAAAGTTTTCAAAAAGCCTCTTCTCGGGGGATTTTTCTACTCTTTCTCTATTTAGATAATTTCATTAAAATACTCTAAGTGAACTCTCTATCCCTTTCTAGGAAGTCTATGAACACATTCATCCATTGGATCTTTCTCCTCTTCACTTGATTATTCCTCATCATCATCTTCCTCTTCACCTTCGCCATCATCCTCTTCTTTCTCTTCCTCATCATTTTCATCATCGTCCTCTCCATCCTCATCTTCATCGTCATCATCGCCTTCTTTTTCTTCTTCATCTTCATCTTCGTCATCATCACTATCTTAATCCATTTTATTCTTACTTCTAGGGCCTGATTCTTTTGACTTAATAATTTTCCCAGAAGAATGACGCCTTGCATCTGGATACTCACCATATTCATCTTGATCCTCATCTTCTTCGTCCTCGTCTTCATCATCGTCTTCTTCACCTTCTTCCCCCTCTTCTTACTCATCATCTCCTTCTTAGTCATCAGTATCGTTTGATCTATCAACTACCTTTGGAGAAGCTGTCCTCTTACTCTCTTATTATGAAGGTCTATCTGTTGATCTAGCTGTATCAACTTTAGTCTATTAACTCGATGTCGATGTGACGACACCTACTATCTTTCCAACCTTACTTAAGATAGACCCAAATAGACCTTTCTTTTTCTGGCTACTATTCTCACTATTATTCATAGTAGAATTCAAATCAGTCTGAGATTCATCTAGGCTACCTTTGTTATCGCTACGTGTTGTATTATAACCTCCCTTGTTAATTTTTGCTTAAGACTCATTGAAAAGATTCGTATTTGATTGATTCATGTATACACTCTAGTTTTTGCTTTCGGGATCATCTACTTCCTCTAATCCTTTGTCATTTTTATTTGCTCTTTGAGAGCGTGCATAATTGGGGTGATTTGGATCATTCATATCTATTGTGAAGTCCTTTTGATCTTCCGCGAATTTCTTACTGCTTTTTTTATTCATTTTATTAATCTTATAATTATGATTTGGAATTTGCTCAAATTAATACATATAGCCTATTAGGGGTTTTGGGGTTTTGGGGTTTTGGGG